CCCGGTACACTGGCCACCCTGAATTCTTCTTAGAATTCGCTTGGAATTTACTGATAATTCCGTAGATCTTTTTCTCGGAATTATTCTTAGTAGGGTTAACTACCCCATTTCCGGCCCATTAAGCAAAACACGCACTTAGCCTTTCTTAATCTAGCGCAGTTTAGCACCAAATGGAATGTTACTATCCCTGATGGCTTCCAAATTTATTTACCTTTCCGTACGTACCGTAAGATTTGATAAAGAGAAACCAATAGTTGAGATATTGTCAAAAGTCTAACACTCCTTCTTGACGCCAAACTCGGCCTACGGATTCTAAACACGGCCTAACGCATTGAAACGCCATTAAAACGCCAATGAATTCACTTCGGCCTATCGGATGAAGTCATAAATTGATTCGGTCGGAGCCGTTATTTTGTTTTTGGGAATAATGGGTGCAAACCTTCATATCACGCGTTCTCATTGACTTCGTTCGGTAGCTTATAAACTAAAGTAGCGTACCAAACGCATAATTGATTTTTTAACTCTGAAATTATGAATTCATTTGAAGTTTTCTGCTCGATAGGCCCAAAATGGGCGATTAGGCCGAAGTAGTTCTCTGCCCTATTTCCTTACTTTTTCTTAGAATTTTTCTTAAGATTTTCTTGGAATTCTGTTTAAAACTCGATTGGAACTATCCAAGTAAATTCTCATGGAAGCCATTGCCCTTTAGAAACTATCCTCAGAATGCAATACCCTTGGTAATATTCTTGGAATTTTCTCCGAATTCACTGGCCACGTGAACGATTGTCTTCCTGGAATTCCCTTAGAATTTACCTCATAAATGTCTTGTCACTCAGCTTATAATTATCTTGGAGTTCTCCTCTGAGTTCTTCTGAAATTTCACTTAAAATTTTTCTCAGAATTTGCATCGATTTACGGAAAATTAGATTTTTTTCTTGGAATTATCCTTAGTATTTCCTTAGTTTTTCTTGGTATTTTTCTTAAGATTTTGTTGGAATTCTGTTTATAACTCGCTTGGAATATTCATGGAAATCACCGCCGTTTTTAAACTAGCCTCAGAATGCAATACCCTTGGAGATCTTCTCGGAATTTTCTCGGAATTCGCATCATAACTCTCTTGAAATTATTCTCAGAACTAATTTGGAATACTCATTGAAATTGGAGCAGGAATTCTTCGCACAAATGTCATGAAGTTCTTCTCAGAATTATCTGAAAATTGTTCCCGGAACTTTTTGACGTAGGACTACGTGTTTGATTTCTATATGGGGGTACACTTTGTTAAAACCGAAAATGGAATATGTAGCGAAATTATGAAAGATTTTGAACCTTAATAATTCAGCTGCCCCTGGACCAATTTCAATAATTTTATCACCAATCGATCAGAAATATGGCTACGCATCGATAACAATACTTCCGATTGTTGATTTTCAACAAAAGTTGTCCTAGCTCGCTATCTACTATCTATACGCAATTTTCACACTGCCATACTCTAACGAAGCTATCAACTCTAGACTTTCATCTCCTCCATCTATCGTATAAAAATTACCACTTTAGTCTGTTATTTGAAATTAGCATCGTAAATCGTTGACTTCACGCAGAAGTAATACTAAACATATAGTCAAAGTAGATTTTTTAGGTTTTCCACAGGAAACCATGAGACAAATTTACTCATCGTTGAGTTCCTGCACTTTTGGCGATTATGAGTGAACTAAACTCAAATTTGGGTCGTTCTCATTCGCCGTGTACGCAAAAGGAAAAGAGCCAGTGTCGATACTTGATAGCAAACTACTCATAATGGGAGGAGTCTTTGTAGCTTTTATACCACTTGGTTGCACATCATTCTGCTTTAACCTGAAAAGATATAAAAGAGCGCTGCTGTATGGCATTAGCTCATTTTCGGTTCGGACGGCGTGGTGAACAACAATAGCAGCAGTAGGAAGGTGGTGGCTAGTCCACTCCTTCACACCTAACAAGCAAAAATTGACTGGTCGTTGCAAAGGAGGCGCCAAGCGTCATCGCAAAGTTCTTCGAGATAACCGCCATCGGTCGTCTGGCTCACCGTGGTGGTGTCAAACGTATCTCCGGTCTGATCTACGAGGTGTGCTGAAGGTGTTCCTGGAAAATGAGGTCCGTGATGTTTTCACCTACACTAAACACGCCAAGCGTAAGTGGCCATGGATGTCCTCTTCAATAAAACGGCCCTTTTCAGGGCCATCAAGCTTGTAACAGTAAAGAGTTGGAATAGAATTTATCTGTGCCTGTTTGTCCATATTCAGAACCACAAGCCCCCAACGACCACACAAAATGCTCTCCAGAGTTGTAATCTTGTAACCAAACTTGGAAGCAAGTGATTTTGATTGATTCTCTTAATCAACTTTCTCTTTGAAAAAAAAAAATACTACAAATTTGGTACGCCTACAATTCAAAAACGGAAAGAGTTGAGATAATAGATTATTGATCAATTAAAAGAACTAAATGCTCTTCACATTTATTCCGTCCACTAGCGGTCCTACCTCAAGCTTCCGTTCGTGCCCCTAGGCACAGACCCTTCTACTTTTTTTTTTAATTCACCAGGAGCTCGGCACACAATTACCTTGGAGTTCTTACCAGAACTACCATGGACATTTTCTCTGAGAGAGATTATTTATTAAAGAGATTCTCAGAAACAATCCGTTGTTATCCAATTCCTTCTCGTAATTTACTCCAAAATTATCGAAATAATTCATCAAAAGTAACCAAATTCTTATATTTAGTACAAGACACTAAAGAAGTCTGCACATTGTACACGAAATACACGTATCTGTTAAGGATAACCAAATAAGGTAGTGGAATTAAATGGAAATTACTAAGCCTTCTTACTCTTTTCCACTAAGAAGCCCACATTCATTTAACAAAAAATGCGTAACTTAAATGACTTTAAAGCACCTACGAGGAACTAATTTATAAAATCCTGACTCCGGGCTTACTTTCTACGCCAAAAAGACTTTAAAAACATAACAAGAAATTTCCTTAAATCACAAATACGCTGATATTACGATTTAAAACATCCTGTGAACATCCTGCGATATAACCATAAAAATTTTAAATCACCAAAAATAGTCTCACAATCGCTAAACTAGTCCGACACGAATGCATCTCGGTGTAACATGGCCTGGAAATGTTGTAAAAACGCCAAAATTACTCATACTATTCTTAAAAATTACAACTTTCATAATAATCTTGAAACTTTAAAATGGTTCTAAAAATGCCAAAAATGATTCAATAAAGTCAAAATGGTCAATGGTTCAAAATGCCAAAATTTCATTTAAAACACAAAAATGGCCTGCAAACGGCAAATAAAATCCTGAAATTAAATGATAGAACACTTCTGAAAACACGAATCAAAAATAATCTATAAATGTACAAATAGAGTTAGTGTCCCAAATATTGGGCCCATACCTAAAATTTTGAATGAAAGCATTGTTCAGATGACGTATTGTCAACTACGAACAACAGGACAAATCAAAGAACAGGAGCTTTTTATCGATGGGCCCAATCTTTAAACCCATAGGTCAACACTAGAGCCATTTCCCCTAACCCATTAATCGCAAAAACAGCTTCGAAATACCTAAATGATTTTGAATCGCCAAATATTTCAGAAAGTAGTGATTCCGTTAGGAGGTTTAAATTAGTGATATGGTTGAAAATTTTCGAAAAATCAGTGCCAACATTTCAAAGTGGCGTAATTGCTTTTGTAGACATTGGCTTTTGCCGTCGATTTCTCGCAAATAAAAACACACTCCTCCAAATTAGGAATGCTAGCTGGTAGAGGAAACATTCATCTACTTGTTGGTGTAATTAAATTTTATGAGTGAGCTTTTATTTTCGAGGAAAGGACGGCTAAAGCCATTGTTTACAAATGCAATTTCTTCCCTATGAAATGTTGGCCCTGAAATGTTAATACTTAAAATTGCAACCAGCCAAACAAAACCAATGGTTTGTTATAGTAGGTCAATTTGGATTACCTATCCAATCATACATTTAAATTTAAATCTGCTATTTTAAGACTCAACTTCTGCGGCCCATCGGAAAGCAACGCATAGATTGAGGAACGCTGCTTTAGATTGAAGTTTATTAAGACTGGCGTTCTGATGCTTGGTCAATATCGGTGTCAATGTTGGCGTTGGAGTGTCAATTTTCCCAATTCATTTGGTTGCTAATCCATAGCCAGGAGTTTGCCATTGTTGAAACAGTTCCTCGAATCACTTCAACCTCAAAATACTTGGTTTACGTTGGAGGTTATGTGGCTTTCAGTCTTTTGATGCTCAAAAACGGGGTTTTAAGTTTTCATCTGACGTTTCGGACACAAGTATTGTGTCTTTTTCAAAGAATTAACTAAATTCCGTTTTAGTGTTAAGAGCCCACAGCATAGGCACAATTGTCACGATGTTCGGCATCGTATGTTGATCACTCCAGCTTTGCGGTAGTGGCGGGAAATTCAAAATGAACCGGCTAGCAGGATTTGGGCAGTTTCTTAAAACGAGAAACTGTACCCAAGTCCTGCTCTTAACACTAAAACGAAATTTAGTTAATGCTTTGAAAAAGGCACAATACATGTGACCGAAAGGTCAGATGAAAACTTAAAACCCCGTTTTTGAACATCAAAAGACTGAAAGCCACACAACCTCCAACATAGTTCGTAATAGTCGATCCCGCCAAGAAAGGTTTGGTTTACTCTAAAGCATTGCTGTTTTTGACCAACCAGCTTAATAACTATCCGATTTTTCACAAATCTTCGGCCATCATTCAGAGTTATCAAACTTTTAAAACAATTTGATCTTGCTTTCAACAGCTACTAATCACACACAGTTGAGCAGCGTACAGTTTTCTGTCACGGTTATCTCGTCGTCAACGTTCGGCACAGCTGCTGGCGACCAAAACAAAACACACCAAACCGGAACCGAGCGAGTTTTTACCGTTTTGTCATATTTGTAGATTTCGTCACTCCAACTGTTACTCACTCACTAATTCTGTTTCATCCGGATTGATGCTAGTTTTCACTCGTACGGTTACCACTTGTTGATCCTTCGGAATCCGCCGTTACTCGTGCGATCACTTATTGCGTCTTGCGTCGATTGTAAAGTTTCGTAACTCGCTTTCGATTGCTACTCATTACCAATTGTGACCGATATTGCTGCGACGGACTCCAAACCACTCCAGTGTCAAGGTGGTACTGAATGCTTTATTCCTTCGCTGCAGAGATCTCCGCTGGATATGGTTCGGCATCGGAATAGGTGGATATGGATATTGCTGGCGGCTTGGGAGGAAAATCGTCTCATGTTTTGGTTTGTGAAACTCTCACTCTTTTCTCCGTCGGGGGGAATTGAGTTCTCTTTCTCTTCTTTCTGTTCGCGCGGAGTTGGAGTTACTTGTGGGGTGCTTGTAAAAAATGTAAACAAGATAGTTTTTTTTTAAGTTTATGTAATTAGATTAGAAAATTGAGAATACATACAAACGATTTTAGGCATTTCAGCTCATTTCAAGGTAGATTTTGTGTTATCAATCCATTGCGAGATTCATCCAACAAAGTAGGAAAATCTCAGAGACCAATGAACCTGTTGCTGTTAGGAGAACCACCGGAGAGTGAGTGCATTGCATATGGTAGCTACAACAGCATCAGCAGACAAACACGAACCGCGAAAATGCCTTGTGGTGAGCGAAGCGCGAAGTATTCCACTAATTTCCAAACATGTTCATTTCTCTCGCACCAGGTGACCGCGTGGTGCGTGGTCGGTCAGAGTTATTGTGTGTTGTGGACTTGTGGGGCTATGCAAGAAGTACTTTCTCCATCAGTAGCGCAGACCCGACACCGAGGACGGACGTGTGGAAGCGATCGAAGATGCGGTGTGTGAATTTATGTGTTAAAATTACTTATTTTTTTCAATCAAATGGCAATATCCAATAACTAGGATAAATGACGGAATCGGCAATCCTTTTCCTGTTCTCATCAAGGGTTTGATCTTTAGTCCCTATAAGCAATTCCCTACGAATTCGCAAATCGGTTTATTTTTGTATTTTTTGATTTGGTTGAAAATTTGCAGAAACGTTCCTTATGACCGACAATGCCATTTTGTATCTTCATATCGCCATTTTGAATCCAGCCTTATTTTTGAAAAGGACCTATAGAAAAATATCAAGCTTATCTTCAGAAAAATTTTACTCGAAAACTGTTTGCCCGATCGGTTTGGTGTCTTGGGCAATCTTGTAGATAATGGATGAGACTATTTGAATAAAATATGCACTCTAAAAAAAAACTATCCAACTTTTTTTTTTCAATCTTCTATATATATAAAAATGAATTTCTGTCTGTCTGTCTGTCTGACCCTTATAGACTCGGAAACTACTGAACCGATTGGCGTGAAAATTTGTATACAGGGGTTTTTGGGGCCGTGGAAGGTTCTTATGATGGTTCGAGACCCCTCCCCCTTCTGTAAGGGGGCGGGCTCCCATACAAATGAAACAGAAATTTCTGCATAACTCGAGAACTAATCAAGCAAATGGAACCAAATTAGGCATGTGAGGGCGAGTGTGGGGGTATAAGGAGATAATCATAAGGGGTAGCCCCTTAGATAATAGGGGGGGGGGATACGTACAATATAGCATGCTCTTTTTTAAATCGGCGCATAAACTCAAGCTAATATTGAATCCCGAGCAAGACCGGGCACACTCAGCTAGTTTCTAATAAAATCTTAAAAACGATTTTTCCCAAAAAAGTATTTTTTGTATTTTTTATTTGTTTATATGTTTTAGGGGACAAAAAATGCTATCTATTGCACTATAGGTTAAGATGGAGAAATCATGGACAAAAAAGTTATAATGTTTTGAAAAAAGCTCGTTTTTGGGAAAATATCCAAAACTTGGTCCAATTGCTGTTTCGACTTTATATAATGAAAATACACCAAATTTACAATAAAAAAGCACCTAGGTAAAATTTTGCTAAGTCTCACAGTTTTGGAGATGTAGCAGTTTGAAAGTAGATAGTTTTAAAATGTAAAATGGTCAAAAACTACCAACATTTTAAAAATATCTACTTTCAAACCGCTACATCTCGAAAACGGTGTGACTTAGCAAAATTTTACCAAGGTGCTTTTTTATTGTAAATTTGGTGTACTATCATTATATAAAGTCAAAAAAGTAATTGGACCAAGTTTTGGATATTTTTCCTAAAACTTTTTAGAATCATAAATGTTTTGTCCATCATTTCTCCATCTTGACCTGTAGTGCAATAGATGGCATTTTTTCCCCCTAAAACATATAAAAAAATAAAAAATAAATCGAAAAAAAAATCCTTTTTTAAGAAAAATTGTTTGTAAGATTTTATTTGAAATTGAAAAAAAAAGTTGGTAATTTTTTTTAGAATGCATATTTTTTTTAAATAGTCTCATCCATTGTCTGCAATATTGCACAAGACACCAAACCGATCGGGCAAACAGTTTTCGAGTAGAATTTTTCTGAAAATAAGCTTAATATTTTTCTATATGCCCTTTTCAAAAATAAGGCTGGATTCAAAATGGTGACATGAAGATGCAAAATGGCATTGTCGCGGTCATAAGGAATGTTTCTGCAAAATTTCAACCCAATCAAAAAATACAAAAATAAACCGATTTGCGGATTCGTAGGGAATTGCTCCTTTATTTTATTCGATCTTTTGTCCATTTCACTTTCTATCCCTTTATCTTTCATTCGTCTTTTTGCCCTCCAAACCGTTTGTCTGTCGACGTTTTGTCCTTCGACCTTTTTACTTGCAGCCATATGAAGATATAAATGAAAAAAAAAAAATCAAAATAGGACAAATTGGCAGTTGAATATGTGCCTGAAAACTACACTAATTACACCACAATAACGTTTGTCATGACAACGATATATTCAAATTTGTCGGCAATCTGACAACTTGATCCAAAGATAGGGGTTATGAATCAAACTAAAGGGTGGGCGATTGGGTTGCAAATACTTGGCCCATACATAGGCCAACATTACAGCCATTCCCACTACCCTCGAAAAAATTTACACATATATGGTAAAGTAAAGTTACCATCTATCTCAATCCACTTATGGTGCCGGAGAGCAGAGCCGTATTCAGAATTTCCGTTTAGGAATCGAATTTTCAGTTTTGTGCCACTCCTCCTGGCTCTTTCACTTTTACGATACCCTCAACACTAGACTGATGCAAAATTTGAAATTTCCGCTCCACAGTGCTCAAACGGTTCCAAATTGGGCCCTAATTAGCCTCCCAAAATTTGAACTCATTTAGTGAGAAACTGACTTGGCACAAACCATTTGAAGTTTATATGGGAATTACTATGGAGAATCCATAATTTCGGTTCATATCTATCTCAAAATTAACCAGGTCACTCTACTTAAGAAAATTATAGCTGAGCTTGTTGAAAATTTTCTCAGCTACAATTTTGTTGAAGACCACTTTTCGATTAAATGTAAGGAACAAAAATTATTAATGTCATCATTAATGTCATCATCAATCAAGTCACTGATGTCTTATGATTTTGCTCAATCAACTGTTCAGCAGGCAACATTGGTGTTTATGGCGCGTAGAATGGAGGACAAAAATCATGGCTACTATGTCACCATGCAGAATACAGTGTTGGCCACAATACAGTTGCTTAATCTTGCCTTAAGATTATCAATCTCTTAAACAATTAATTACTATTTAATTTGACGTTTGGCTTAAAAAAAAATTCTACAAAGTTGTAGCTGATAAAAAAAAATCCCATAAGAATAGCAATAGAGTTTGTTAACAGTACAATATGTAAAAAGGCTAGAATACAATAAACAAAAAGTGTTGTTTTCCCATAGTAATTTCCATATAAACTTCAAATGGTTTGTGCCAAGTCAGTTTAAACTTTCGGAGGCTAATCAGGACCCGATTTGAAACCGTTTGAACACTGTGGAGCGAAAATTTCCAATTTTGCATCAGTCTACTCAACACATTTCCTAAGGGTACCGTAAGTGGGGGTGACATTGGTCCAACAAATAAATAAAAAATCATTCCCTGCCTTACAAGATTCACGTTTTAGCAAGGAAAACAAATTTTAAGCAGGTGATTATAGTCATCAATGATAAATTTACGAATGTCACGGAAATGGTTGATTAAATTAAAAAATAGACCAATGTGAAACCTTATGGAGGTTGACTTTGGACCAAAACATAAATTTAATTAAAATATCTTAAAATATGTAAATGTAACTTAGTTATTAAGAGTACATTTGGTTATGACTACAATTTATGGCTAAAGATCACGTGTAACCTTCGTCTATCCACATAAAAGGGTGTTCAAATTTTTGTTTGCCTGTGAACATTTTTACTATTTATGGCAGTTAAATTTACAGTACTTTTTACATAAAACAACTGGTTTATGTTATCCACACTTTACTCCAGGAGTTCAAGAAACACATTCTTGTCATATTTTTTTGAATAATCAAGATATTTTTATCAATAAACATTTTAAAATGTTGGCCCAATGTCACCCCGTCTTACGGTAGGCTTAAAGATTAATAGATATCACAACAATTTCTCACTATTATACTTGTTTACTCTGTCGGGAGTTATTCAGCCAAGGGCAAGGAATCAATAATATCTCCACATGACAATTTTATCTAGGGGAAAAGTTCTCTTCGGCAATACCTTAACCTATTATCGTCAGGGGGTAAACAACGTCCTTGAGAGCTCAATTTTGGCATGTGGATACATTGTGTTTCAGAGCAACTATTGGCCAAATTTGTTTACCCCCCTGACGATAATAGGTTAAAGTATTGCCGAAGCCAACTTTTCCCCTAGATGATATGGATGGATATTTTTGGTCGCTATTGAAAATATAGTCGATTGCTGAATTTATGGGGGGAATTTAGGGCGACATTACATCCTTTTCCACTATATTGCAACAAAGCAGGCAAGCACTATATCATTATCCTTCTACCAATCCGATCGAGCTATGTTGCAGAGCAAGTTTGTCATGGTAGCCGTAGCAACCGTTTTGTCTGTATCGTTGCTGGCCAAGGGATACTAGGGGGATTAAAGAAAATCTTCAACATGGAAGAGATGTCTGCACCGCTATTAAAAAAAAATCTGGTGGTGAA